AGCATAGGGTGGAGGAGGGCAGAGGGGGAAGAGGAGTACAGAGAGTGGAGGGGAAGCGAGGGGAGGGGGGGCAGAGAGTGGAGAAGGCAGAGGGTGGAGGGGAGGGCAGAGGGGAGAGAGGAGTACAGAGGGGGAGGGAAGGCAGAGGTAGGGAGGGCAGGGCAGGGAGGGCAGAGGAGGAGGGAGGGGCAGGGAAGGGAGGCGAGGGGAGGCAGGAAGGGAGGGATGGCAAGAGGGTGGAGGGAAGGGCAGAGGGTGGAGAGAGGGCAGAGGGAGGGAGGCAGGGAGGGAGAGAGGCAGAGGGGAGGAGAGGGAGGGAGAGCAGAGGAGGGATGAGAGCAGAGAGGAGGCAGAGGGGGGAGGGAGGGCAGATGGTGGGAGGGGAGGCATGGGGGGAGAGAGGAGGGCAGAGGGGAGGGAGGCAGAGGGGTGGAGAGGGCATGGGAGGGGAGAGGAGGGCAGGTAGAGGCAGGAGGAGGGAGGACAGGAGGAGGAGTGCAGAGGGAGCAGAAGAGGTGAGAGGGGAAGCGGGGGAGCCCCTCCAGCCCCAAGCTGGGGTCTCCGTCCAGAGCGCCCCCTCCTCGTTGCTTTCCAGCCTTCGGGGTTCTGAAATGTCCAGAGGCCCAAGCGGGTGGTGGCTGTCACCCGGCCGTGAGGAGCCCTCCGCAGGGGACCAGCACGTGCCCCCAGCGAAGCCCACTCCAGGCGGGGCAGAGCGAGCACAGCCCAGCAGTGCCCAGCCCTGGCGAGCCCGAGGCCTGCTGGGTGGGCGGAGGGTGGTCTGAGACCTTCTCGGCCCTCTCAGCCAGGGGGCCTCGTGGGAGCCAGCTGGGGGCAAGCCGGACAGAGCCGCTTTTGACAGCCCTGTGGCCTGGTGGAGGAGGGACAGACCCCAGGCTCTGTCTGTCCCTTTCGTTCTCCCGTGGTGGGGACGGTGCTGGGGGGGGCGCTGGGGCGCGAGAACATGGCCAGCGACCATGCTCCACTCCCCGCAGCCTTTACTGACAGAGGCCATACCGCTGGGACCCTGGGGGGGGCGGGGTTCAGCGCAGGAGCCGACACTGGACGCGTCTCTCCAGGGCGGGGCCCTGTGCACCCACCAGAGGAAGACGGCCCAAGCTCCCCCATCCCACGTGAGCCTAAGGCACCCCCACTTCCTCCCCAACAGCAGGGGCCAGAGGGTCCCCCAGGAGAGCCAAGCTCGTGGTGGGCAGGAGGACGTGCCCGGGGAGGGGTGGCAGTTGGTGGCCTAGGGTCTCCCAGGGACACCGGGCTCAGCAGTGACAGGGCAGCCCAGTCAGGACTGCTGGGTCACAGCAGGGGGCAGGCGGAGACCTCTGGAGGTCCACAGGCTGAGGCTGCAAAGGCTGCCCTGCCCGGCTGGGAGGGGGTACCGATCCCTTGCTGGCTCCTCCCACTGGGCCTCTCCCTCTAGAGACCTCCTGGGGGGTCCCTAGTGGACCCCCCACTGTGCAGACTGGGCAGGGCACAGGCTGAGGGGAGACAGGGAGAGGTGGGGACAAGGACACCCAAGAGATACAGGAGCCCCCAGGTGCAGCTTCTGTTGGGGGGGGCGCTGCCAGCACCCTCCTGCTCGCAGCTGCGTGCCACCCCCTGGCCCCCGCCTCCCTGCAGCCCCTCCCACCCCCACCCTGCCTGGCCACCTCGCCCAGCCGCCCGGTGACCTGGGCTGTTCCGGCTGCCCCAGCACAGCCCCCGTCCCTCCCTCCCTCCTCGGAAAAACACGGGAGTGAAGACACGGAGCCAGAGCCCGGGCGCCGGCGGAGGGCCCCCAGGCAGCTGGGCGGAGGCGGCCCCCGGACACCTGCAGCGGGGCGGGGCGTGGTCAGAGGCAGGAGCCTTCTCGCTTCCACACGCCACCGCACCCCGCCCGGCTCCGGCCTGGGCCCGCAGGCCAGCCTTGGTCCTGGACGTCAGATGGGCAGAGGTGGCTTGGCAAGGCACCCCCTGCACTTCCAGGAAAGCAAGACCCTCCTGGGAGAATGGGAGCAGTCTGCCGGACAGGGACACTCGCAAGCCCGGCTGGCACCTGGAACCTCCCCCCTCTCCCCCACCCCCTCCGCATGCTGGAGTCAATGCCTCTGTCCTGACCCTCACCCCCCCCAAACCTGAGGGAGGCATGAGCCCCTCCCTCCCCACTGACCCCGGCCCTGCACTGGGGCTGCCCCAGCTGGGCCAGTCACCGTCCCCCTTCTTCCTTCCTCGGTACCTTGGCTGAATCTGCCGTAGCTGACCTGTCCTGTCTGCTCGCGACTCTCCCCTCCTTAGCCTCTGGATGCTTCCCTCCCCTGGCACTCCCAGGATTTTTCTGGAGGGGGGTTGTTCGTTTCGTGGCAGGTTCGTCCCCCACCCCAGGCCTTTGGGGCGGTCCCTAAACCTACAGCCTCCCAAACCCCCAGGCTGAAAAGCCGAGCACACCCCGCCTGGCAGGTGCTGTCTTGGCATCTCCACCTCTGGGGGCGCTGGCCACGGGGGCGGGGGGCACCCCCAGTCTGCTGCTCCGCGCTAAGCCCCCTGCCAGCCTGCAGCTTAAATGCCTTTAAGGCTCACGCCATCCTGCCCCCTGCTGACACCGCCCTGTCCCCCCCCCAGCAGGCCCCTCCCCCAGCTCTAGGCAAGACCCCGTCCCCACCGCGTCACCGGCCACCACCGCTATGCCCGGCGGACCTCACTTTCCCCACCCAGCCTGGCAGCCGCCCGAGGACCCCGGCTCCCAAGGAGACCGCAGAGATGGCGGCGTCACGCCACGCCCATCCCTCCAGAAGCTTCCGCGGCTCACACAGGAGGTGCAGACGGCAAAGCCCACTAGACCCGCCTTTACCGCCCTGTCCTAAACAAACAGGCTGCACTGTGCACCCCGCACCCGCAGACGCTGATTCGGCGTGACAGCCGGTCCACACCGCCTGCGGGATGCTGCTGTGACAAGTCACATGGACAGTTCCAGGCACCATGGCCTGCAGACCAGGGCACGGGGGAAGCCAGGTCCTCCCTGCTCCTCCCCTCGACCCCATGGGACCCACGGCGCGTGGTCCTCTCCTCAAGCAACAGACCCTCTTCCCAAAGCCTGCCCGTGCCGACTCTGCCCCCCGCCCCGCTCCAGTGGGGCAGGATCCTCCGGGCACGTCCAGCAGCCTGCTGGGGGGGGGCACGGGACAAATGGCCCTGGGACATTTCCCAGGAAGCGCCCACTGTCCAGGTTCCAGAGGACTTTCCTTTCTCATCTCTGCCCCATCCCCCTCAAAGCGGCGCGCCCCTGGCCAGTCCCTGTCCACC